CTCCTAATACTGATCCTCCTCTCTCGCTCTCCCTTCAAGTCAGTGATTTCCACATAAGTCCATCCTTGCAAGCACGCTGTCTTGGCATCATACTTGATTCTGCCCTCACCTTTGAGCCTCACATTCAGTTTGTTGCCAAATACTGTAGATTCCAACTCAAAAACATAGCCCACATCCGCCCCTTTCTTACGCAAGATGCGACCAAAGAGCTTGTCCATGCTCTAGTAATTTCCTGCATGGATTATTGTAACCCTCTCCTGATTGGTCTCCCCAAAAGCCGTATTGCCCCGCTACAGTCTGTAATGAATGCTGCATCTCGACTGATTTTCCTCTCTAGCCGGTCCTCTCACACATCACCCCTCTGCCAGTCCTTACATTGGCTCCCTGTATCCTATAGGAGTCAATTCAAAGTGCTAACCCTTACATTTAAGGCACTGAACAATTCTAGCCCCTTTTATATCTCCTCAATGATCCATAGGTATGCCCCTCCTTGTTCCATTCGCTCTGCCCGTGACCACCTCCTGACCGCTGCTCGCACCCGTACAGCCAACTCGCACTTGCAAGACCTCTCGCGGGTGGCGCCTTTCCTATGGAATAGCCTGCCTACCGCCATCAGACTCTCCCCTAGTCTTCAATCATTTAAGAAGAGCCTTAAAACCCATCTCTTCAGGAAAGCTTATGGCCTCCCAGAGTAACCTCTACCTTACATACCTGTCTCTTGCTCTCTCCTATAGGGCAGCACTCTACCCTCTCCTATAGCTCTGCTTCACTCCCACCCTATTTGATATTTCCTGTCCTGACGTGTCTTATACCCCACCTCCTACAGACTGTAAGCTCGTTTGAGCAGGGTCCTCTTCAACCTATTGTTCCTGTAAGTTTTCTTGTAATTGTCCTATTTATAGTTAAATCCCCCCTCTCATAATATTGTAAAGCGCTACGGAATCTGTTGGCGCTAAATGGCAATAATAATAATAATAAAGCAATGTGGGCAAACTGTATTATAAGAATAGGAACAGATTAAGCAATATCGCTGCACGATTTGGTTTGAGTAAAACAGTGTCAGTTGTAATATGAGAGAGTTGTTCCCATGCTTGCTGTTGTAGGCCCCCTAGGAAGCCCATCCACCATCAGTCCTCCCCAGGTCGGACCCAACCCACCAGCATAGCGTTCTGTGGCACCATGGGCACTCAAAGTCTGAATCAGTCCATCAGACCCCCCCACCAAGAGTCTATGCACCGACCGTCTCCTGCACCTCCCCAGCACCACATAGGCTTCCGTGAAGAGCTTGGACCCGCATGCCTCATCCATCGCTGGCCATATACTTGGGCCTGGGGCAGGGGGACAAATCACCTCTGGGCCACCCTCAAATCCAAAGGCAAGGTCCTTTACTTCTCCAGGGGGCAGGACGCCTGGGGATCTATCCACAGGGCAGCAGCCTTCATGGTCCCCAGCATTAGAGTGCTTCTCTATGGAAGTGAATATTCCCCCATCTATGTCTGCTAGCGGGCTGTTCTTCAGGCAGCCTTTGCCAGTGCAGGTGATCGGTGTGGGACTAACGCAGGAACTCCTGCGGCAGTGAGAGCCGTCACCATGAGGTCAGGATAACCCCCGCTGGCCAAGGGAACAGGGCTGTGCCCCGAGCCCGAGGATTTCTCCATGTAGGAAGCTATCGCTCTTGTAGTGTCAGTCTCCTGCCTGGGTGTCTCATTAGAGCAAATCTTCTTGTTGCCAGGCATCATTCAACAGTCGCATGAGTCCAGGCTGTGGCGGCGAGTAGGCCGGAGAAGGCAGCTTCTGCTCTCTCGGTGTGCAATAGGGTTCTTGCGGGTATCAGACTGAAGCTGGGGTTATTCTCCATAAAGTGACTACGGAGAATCCACCTTTGGAGCGGTCGATATCTTCTTTTTGTGCCATTTTCACAGGCTCGGATCTGGAGCCAAAGCAAAAACCAAAGCCAAAGCAAAAACGGCACCGCCCCCACCCCCGCCCCCTTATTTTAGTTATTTTTTCATGCATGGTTATTCTCTTCTTTTTTACCGATGAAGTACACTCATATACATTTATGACAATTTAGCTGGTTATAGCAACATTATTATGTCCTTGTTGTGACAATCTACAAATATGTGCAGGTATAACATTATTAATTTTTTATGTTGACATGCTATACAGTAATCTGCCTATGTATGCACATAATACTAAAAATAATACACCAGGGGCAGGCAACCTTTTAGCAGCACTGTGCCAATATAGGATTGTGATGTCCCTTAGCGTACCGGTCCTATTTTTTTAAATTGAAGTGTGTATGCTGCTTGTGTTATTTATACTGTAATTGCTTTGTATCGTTGTATTTGTGCATATATGAGCCATTATATCGTATATGTTTAGGAGTAGTTTGTGGTATCGTGTATGATACATATGAATGAGGGCTGTGTATGGGGGTGGTTGTGGAATGGTGTGTGTGGATGGATATGTCACATTGTGTGTGTATGTGTGTGGGGGCTGTTTGGGGTATTGCATGTGAGGTTGTGTGCATGTATGTGGATTGTTAGCAGGTGTCATGTCCCTGAGCAGGTCAGAGAGGAGATGATTGTCAGGGTTATTTGTTGAAACTTTGTCTTTTTAGACATAATTTACTTTAAAGAAAGAATTAAGGCAATATGCCACAAAAAGGATACTTTGAGAGTAAATTAATAAAGTCTTTTATATACACAAGTAGGTTTGACATAATTCCCAAGCAGATTAGTAGTTTGTGGAATGTCACACTGCAGCCAGGTTCAGGATGATACAGGGTTGAAATAGTTAAAGCTGGTAAGTACTTTCAGTATAATATAATACAGGTTGCTTACAGGATCTTGCAGAGTTGCAGTAGTTGAGACAGGTAACTACATTCCAGTATAATGTAATACAGGTTGCTTACAGGATCATGCAGAGTCAGGGGCGTACCTAGAGCATTTGGCACCCGGGGCGGATCCTGTGCTTGGCACCCCCCCCAAAAAAAAAAAAAAAAAAAACCTGTAAAAAATGTTAAAGGTTTTATTTCTTTTATTTTTACAATTTGTAAACTTTGCAAAACCGCTGTCAGCCCCTCCTACAAAACTCTTGTCCTGCCCTGCCCCATCTACAAAACCTCTGTCCTGCCCCTTCTACAAATCCTGTACTGCCCCATCTACAAAACCCCCGCAACCCCCTTCCACAAATCCCCTGCTTATCCCCCCTTATAAAGACTCCTGTCCCAACACAAAACCCCCACCCCCTTCTACAAAATCCCTGCAGCCCCACACACACATTTACAGGCAGACAGTCACACACTCAGTTACAGACACAGTCACACACTCAGTTACAGACAGACAGTCACACACTCAGTTACAGCCAGACAGTCACACACAGTCACAGGCAGACAGTCACACATACACATTTCCTCCGTGCGGCCAGTTTATCAGCTGTTTGCTTGAGTGAGCTGTACTGGCCGCACGGCACCCTAACTACCATGGGACCACAGCTCACACAGCCCCCTCCAGCCAGGGCCGGTACAAGGATTTTGCCGCCCAAGGCAAAAGTAAAGTTTGCCGTCCCCCATGTGACATCACAATGCCCCAGCCATATGATTTGCCATGTTAACTAACGCCAGTGCTGCAGTGCCGCCGTGTTTACATTAAAAGGCCTGCAGGGACAGGCTATAGACACCAGAACCACTACATTAGACTGAAGTGGTTCTGGGGACTATAGTGTTTCTTTAATGTGAGGTAAATTAGAGCTTAGTGCCACGAATAATATACTAGATTGCCTACTTACAACCAGATGAGGATGATGATGGGCTCTAGCTGCGGTCTGGCTCCACTGGTCTGGTGCAGA